TATATATATATATATATATATATATATATACACACTCAACATGATAGGTACTTCTATAAAACATAAAAAAGTTTCAAAATAGTTTTAAATTTATTTTTAATCATATGAAAAGAGCAGTAGGGATAGTATAAAATATAAGTTCCTATTTAATAATTTGCAATTGAGGGGAAATAGCCAAGGTACATACAACATTTTGGATGAAAAATGAATTCATTTTTTGCATTAAAATGAGCCTTTTCTGAATATCAGATCATATTCAATTAGGTTGTTACCTATATTTCATGATGTTTTCAAACCTAACTACTGTTGACAGTCACCAAGATTTTGTAGCAGCTTCCGCTCTTGAAACTGTGCTACATAAAGTGAATTCTAGGGTTTATAGCTTAGTGAAAAAACAGGTCACTAACTAGCTAACAAGAATTTGTAAAAGGATCTAGACAATATTGCATAAGAAGAGTAAATTCCATTATTTTCAAAACATGCAATAGTTAAGTGATCTATCATGACAGCCAGAATGTCTTTACTGAAGGAAAACAAAGTCAGGGAAAACATACCATAAACTGAAACTAAGAGTACAATACATTCTCATAGCAAGATATTACAATAAAGTTTATGTCAAATTGTCATAATCAGTAAGAACTGATCCATTAAGATAAAATATGATGTTCCTAAAAAATAAAGCATAAACCTCTCTCAAAGGAAGGTATGATAAGTAAAATTTACCTTATAAACTCTGTGAAAGCTATGACTTTTCACGTAGTTTGTAGGTAATATATAATGACACAAAAAGGAAAGGAGCCATCACTAAATCTCCCAAAGAATAAATTAATCATACAAACATGGAAGCATTACTCCTTTGATATTATAGAGTTAGAATGATAGAAGATAACATTGTGTCAAATTACCAACTTCAAGAAAACTTGCAAGTACTCAGTTATCACATGTATATATTCATAATAAAAGAAGATTAAAAAATGTCGCAAGGTTTGCAAAACGAAATTACAAATACAAAATACTTTAAGTATTAGAATTTTTCAGAACTGTTGTAACAGTGAAAGCAACCTATTTAGTCCCTACACAACTTGAGAAAACCCAAATGATCAGAAGGGCCAAGTCTGACACCACTTTAAAGAGAAAGAAAAACGAGCTTGTCATGTGGTATTCAACCTTTATATTACAGTAATCAGTCAGTGCATTAGTCTTAAATTCTTATGCTGATTGTATGAAAATTAAATATCACAATAATGGTTTATCATATTTATGACTTATTCCATTAAACAAGACAACTTATCAAGTGCATAGTTCAGAAATCCCCTCACAGGAATTACGCAGTATTATTTTCTGAAAAACTATTATAACACTTACTCTGGGTATCCTTTCCATTTCAGAAAATACTCAACACGGCCTTGTACTACTCTTTTATCAACAACTTTTTCTACTGTATACTCTTCTTCAGCTTCGGGGCTGCCTTCCTTTTGTTTCTTTTTACCCATTTTACCCTAAAACAAATTATGGCTTAGATGTTAAAAATCTTAAAAGTTGTTTACATCATGTTTTATATTATCTACTCTACAATCCACACAAAATATGCCAGAAAATTGAATTATGCTAACTGTAATCCTAATGCACAAAATATTTCATTAATGAACCTGTTTTAAATCACACTCCAAATTCATTGAAGCAACCTGGAGTAAAAGAAAATTGAAGAAGAATTTCATTTTTACTGGAAAATTTCCAATGTGAACCCACCCAGTTTATAAACTTTTTTCACCAGCCAAATGAAAAAGATTTGGTATGTTATATAATTTCTCAATATTAAAAGTAGAATAACTGGTTCAGAAAATGTAAGCCAACTTAAATCAAACTACAATAATCATTTATAAAAAAAATATAAAGTAAATTATAATAAATGCCATTCAATTGAAATGTAGAGAAAATAAAAGACATCATGAATCTTGTTTATCTTTCAGTAGTTAATATTAAAACTTTCCTAGCTATGCAATGCTACCATACATTTAAGAGGTTGAGTAGATTATATACCTATTTACATAGCCACACATCATCCAAGGTTTTCTGATCAATTTTTAAACCCCAAAGTCTCCTCTCACCTTAAAGGCGAGTCTTGTTATTACACCCCTCTTAATGCACTTGCTAATATTCATATTCAAAATTATTCTAATATAACATACTCAACCCTCTATTATAAAAAGTGATGAATCAGTTATATTGTGGGCATTAAATTAGAATTTCAACTTCAATAAGCTTATAAATACTAATGCCCAAACCAAGATCAGACAGCAACCCTACCATGTATTATGTGCCCAGAGTGAAGCCATCACTGCAGCCAGTTAGCACAAACTTCTTGTGACAAACGATGACAAGCTAGACATCAGGAGAGGTAAATCCATGTCTCTTTACAAAAGAAAAATTTCTTATTGCAAATGTGATTTCTATTTTTAAAAAAGGTTGAAGACTGAAACCAGGAAACAAAGCAACAGTGCTGAATTTATTTATTTTTTAAATTTTTTGTCCATGGGGCAATATGGTAGAAAAGTCTACTTGCCCCCCCCCCTCTCCTCAGTTCACAAAACACACAAAAAGTACAATGTAACTTTCAGGATTTTGCTGTTACTTTACAGTAACCACTAACAAAAAATTATGATAAAAGTATTCCTGGTTTACTTTAATACTGCCAAACTAAAAATGGTGTTTTCTTAGATCTGACAATCAAACTTTACAGTTTCTTCTATATATATATAAATAAACATACACACACACAGTATAGTAACATTTTTGCATTAAACTGAAAATGTTAATGTGGTTGTGACTAAGGATTTGTGAATTAAAGGTATAAAGTTTCAGTTTGAGAATTATATATATATATTCTTTTTTAAAATTGTGTGTATGTGACAAATTTCAGTTTGGAATTATCAAGAATTTAAGCGGCACCCTAAAAATTTACTCTAGTTTTTCTAGCAATAGAAAAAACATGAAAAACCCACAAAAACTACATGTTCAAAGGGCAATATGAACACCACACCCCTGTATAGGTTATGTATTAGATTATTAACAATATGTACTGTTGAACTATTGTCTGAAGAAAATTAGAAAGCATTTGGAAAGCTAGCAATTAAAGATTTTCAACACCATATTTTAATAATTATTAACTTGTTAAAATTTAAGATGAAGTTTCAACTGTTGTTGACATGGGCATCTCCAGTAATAAGGCAAACAAGCAATGATGAAGGAAAACTAAACTACCTGAAGCAACAAATAGTGATAAAAATGCCTTTTTAAATTCAGATATTATGACTAGTGAAGTTCCTCAGGTGTTTTTTTGAGATCTTGTTATTCATTATTTTCATAAACAAATTTCCAAACTCATTCATACTAATATGCCAAGAAGAGCATCTATTAAAATTACTTCTATGTAAAAAGGTCTTGACTGTTTTATTTACGTAGTTTATTTTAAATGTTTCCAGGAGTAAAATAACTCCAATTTCATTGGCTGAACATTTTTACTCAAAAGTTATGACTTAAGAGTGTTGAAAACATTATTTGTCAAAACATTTTTGATAACAGATAAAATTTATACACAAACAAAATCATTGCTCATATCCTGAAAGAAAGATTCTTTTCAAATTAACATACTTCATGCCACTTCTCAGTATCGCATTTCACTTTCTATGATCTATTCCAATCAGTTACGTTCATATAGTTCTCTATTATTGATCCATGAAAACATTAGCACAGCTCAAGTACCAAGAAGTAATGTAGTGCTTACTAAAACAATAAGATCAGATTAACATAAAATTGTCTCCTTCACTACAATTTGTTGCAGAAATATATTGTTCCTATTGCAGTAAACTTAACTTATGAATAAGCCTACTGTTAATGTTACACGAGATACAGTACACTTGTATTGTGGAACATCACTCTGATTTCTTTTGTTTTCACACTGGTACAGGTTCTGTACTACTTTGTGTGTACATTTTCATGTACAAAGGTACTTTCTCCTGAAGGTATTGTACAGGGAGAGAGACTTTTCTTTACCTTTTTATATGTTTTTAAACTAATTAAACAATGTTAATTAAAATATTTTGTCATTTGTTTAGTGTAATTCTTGAAGAAAAAGTTTTTCATTTCTGCATAGCTGCAGAATTTTGCCTGTAAACAAAACAACTCACTAGTCATTGTTTTTCTTACACATACCAAAGACAAACTATTTTAGTAAAGGACCTATCACCCCTTGAGAATGTATTATCCATTTCTTGATTTTCAACCATATCCATTATTTTACACAGGCCATGGTTGAAACAATTATGGTGACTTGTCAAATGGTTTAACCACTTACTAATGAAACCACCTTTAAAAACAGCTATAAAAAAATATGTAAAAATGATTGAATAGCACAAGAAAAAATCTTTAGCTTGAAGTTTTTGTTATAGTTTTGCAATCGTTCCTTTCATTGTGAATTGTTATTTAAAGTATTTGTCTGTTAAACTACATCTGTTTGAAAGCTAGATATTTTTTCAGTTAAAACACATAGGTAACTCGACATAACTTATACTTTTTTAATAGTATAAATATATACTGTGTTGTTGTTGGGCTTAGGATTCTTCTACGGTAGGTGTCTGAATTATTAGCAATAAATTCAATAATAAATGAACAGCACACACTTCACTTGTTTTTAAAATAATATATATATATATATATATATAATACACACATGCACACACACATTCGGAACAAGTTAAACATGTACAACAGATTCTTCACACTATAGAGATTATAGGCATATCATAAACTATATAAATATAGTTCCAATTAGGCCTATTCAATTGCTTTACAAATTCAGTTGACAAGCCGAACTACCTTTCTCTATTTCTATTGCCAAATTATCCGTGCACTTACTTTATCATTGAGTTACCATAGCTTTATCCTATACTTATCTCTCTTTGTATTTCAGAGAATCGCCTGTCTATTTGTCAAAATCTACTGAGGCTAGTTCAGTTACTTTAGAACTCTCTTTGACAAAATAAACTATTCTTCTTATCTCTTTCAACACTGTTCGTCTCACTCTAATATATCAACCATCAGGCCTATATTAATAATTAGGCCTTCCACTCCTATGTCGAATAACTATGCTTTTAACTTTTCTTTGGCCGAACTCCTTATCATTACTTTACTTTCTCACTCGTCTCACACTATATATATATATTTATCACTTAATTGTCTGCTCACCTTCTAGAAATCTCTATATCCTAGACAGCAATAATTTAATGTGATTTTTAATAGCCTCAACATAAATGAATTATAAACACAACTTCCAAAAATCATCTGTTTTTAACTCTCTTATTATGCAAAAACTAAACAGTCATGAAATATTTACTCACAAAATTAATTAATTAATACTACCAACACTAAACAGTCTTTTATATCATCACACAGTCTTATAAAAGATTGAAGGCAAATACTTTTTCTTATCTTTAGTCCATTGTCTCAACTCTGACACAAACAGCACAAACTTTGTGCTCAGCCCATGTTTTGTCTTGGTCCTTAAGTTTCATTCCAAAATACACGTAATATGCTTTGACTAAGTCTGTAATGTTTTATCACAGATATAACAATATGTTTGGTCCATTTACACAACCTCTTGTGTCTATAGCAACAAAAAAATAATATTGAAAAGAAAAAAATTAATGTCAAAGTGCAAGTACAAACAAATACTATCCAGAAATGAATAATTCACTTATGTAAAAGTACATATGACATTTAATGAAGTATCTGTACGTGATGGAGAAAAACAGATATTTTCGGATTCAGCATACAGGAATTACTGTAGAACATGTAAAAATTTCACGACAATAAAACCATCATAAGCCTGTGTTATCAGTGACAGTAAAACATATTATCATTATCCAGTTATCAATTTATCTGATTCACAAAAGATCAGTGGGGATTACTGCATATTTGGTAAAAACCATGGAAACCTCATGGTCTTATTTCAGTCAACATTAGCAATTCATTCACCAAGTAGGGGAAAATTCATACAATTTCAGGAAAGATATTTTTTAGACAAAATAGGAGTTCACAAAATGAACAAATTGCAACCTTCACAAAAGGTCTATCATATAAAATCAAGGATAATCACTAAAATTACTTAAAAATCCAGTGGTTGAAAGTTAAGAAGCTAGTAGACACCATTTGTGTTTTTGTTATTGTTGTATGGGTTGTGGAGGGCATGTACTAACCATTTAATGAAAAGTAATTGAAATCACCCAGCTCTACTGATAACACACCAATTTCTCCTATTTGTCAAGAAAAAAACTTAAGTCATTTATCTTGGCTTAGGAACAGTTGTTATTTTTAACATAGCATTTATAATTATGCAAAAAAGAAGTTGAAAGAAAATATTAACAGCAAGTAAAAATTCAAAGTTTTACACATACAAGAGTCATCTGTTACAATGGATTTTCCCTGTTCATTAGGTGATAAATGTGGAAATCTGAGCTTGAGTACTACAATTAATAGGTATAACCTTTGGAAGTCTAAATGCAGACTTATTCTCCAACAGATTTTCCTCCTCTCATAAACTTAATGGAATGGTTTGATTGAAACAATATTATGCCACCTTAATTCTTCCATCAGTTTGGTAGATAATTATATGGATGTATGAGCTGTATTTAATGTGGTTTTTTTCCGTGCTATGAGTGTGAAGGCTGATCTACACTCATCAAATGACCTTCTGTAATCTTTCTTTTGTCAGTTTCAAGTAATGCATTTTATACAAACATTAAATATTATGCATAAATTAAGCTAGGAAAATCTACTTCTTGACCTACTCAATTTAAAAAAAAAATTAGTTCCCACCTAGTACAGGCTTTACTTTCAGTCATTTATAGTTTATTCTTCAAAACAAAGGAAAATAAATTACACGACTTCCACAATAAAGAAGACTATTGCTATTATAATCTTATTGTTCAGACTCAGATTTATTATTTTTTAACTGATTCAGATCTATAAAATTCCTATACCAGCCAATATCTTTATAATCAACATTTAGAACACATTAATTACAAAAAATACATAAAACAATTTAAACATTATTTTAACCAAAAATTAACCAGCATTGGTAAGCTACAACCAGTGAAAAAGGAATTAATTAAATATTCAACATTTTTAACCTCACACACTCCAAAATACTACTGTTCATTGGAGCCACGATAAAACAAGTCTGCAGCAAAAAAAGGTTTTCCAGGTTTTGATGGGTTAGCAATTTATTAATACTCTAATTACTACTGGCTATGCAGTGTACCACAGTGTTAAAAGATAAAATTTCCAGTTATCAATTATTGGGTTATAAGTCATCAGCATGGACAGAAAGCCTCTAACTGGGAATGGTAATAAATGCTTTTTTGATGAGCAGGTTATATGAAGTTAGATTTCAGCCTTTAACTTGTAAAGATGAACCAGAGGGAAGAAATGCAAAATTTAAGTTATAAGTGATCCTTTAATACAGCATGTGGATTAGGACTGGGCAATTAACATGATTACCGACGAGTATGAGCATTGATTACTTTGATTAATGTCACAAAAAATAATCAACTGACCAAAATTAGGATTTCTAATTACTACACTATCCAAGTAATAAATATATCATTATAGTTTCTCAAATTCTCGTTTTCATTTTTTTCAATTAATTCAAGTTTGTTCAGCTTTAAGCCAGCAGCCTTTTGATTAAGGAGACTTGCCTCATGATTCAAGGGTCTCAGGTTCAATTCCTAATGCCATCAAAAATGCTTGCCTTTTCAGCAACAGGGGTGTAACATCTAGTACTTTGTTTTAAGGCAAAGCCATTAAGGCTGTCACCATCCCTAATTTTGAAATATTGATTAGAGAGAAGGCAATTGGCTGGCAACACTAATCTCCAGCTCTTGGGCTACTTTAACATCAACTAAAGAGTAAACTGAAGGTTCTTTTACCTTGTATTGTGTTTCTAATTTATAATTGCATAGTTGTATTCTTTAAAGTTGAATAAGGTGTAAAATACTTTTTGCAGTGTGTTTATAATTTACATAATTGTGTTGTTAAATAAACTACAAATTCAATTCTTATACAGTAATACCTCAATAAATGAGGTTTCAGTACATTGAAATTTGGATTTTTTATCATTATTTTACACAGAAAGCAAAAATAAAGTAAAATAAATAAATACACTGAAATTAATAATTAAATAATAAATTTATTGTTCATTGTATAATATAAATAAATATAAAATTATAATAAGATATGGATTCTTAAGTATTGCACATCGAGATGCACATATATGTTGTTAACATTCATCTCAGTTGTCAGTACACCGTTTATTGTATTTATTGTTACGATAGCAGAAATCACGTGAAGCTGGTAACACGTCATGAGATTCTCGAAGGATCTTGACTTTTCCTGGCAAATCTAGGCTTTTCTAGGCACCCTCTATTTTAGTATATAAGCCCGGCAAATAAAGCGGAGATATAATTGCAGATAAGGAGATATAGAGACAGACAATCAAGTCAAGTCGTAAGTAAAGTGAGTGAATCGTTGTGAATTATAGCATGTTGAAGTTAAAGTGACTGTACAAATTAAGTGTATTGAGAAAGAATAAACTAGTTTTATCTAAGAAAGGACTTGTATCGCTGAAGTTCTTTGGAAAGAATATTTACGGAAATTAACAAATGAACAGAAATGCAACATTATGTTGATTCTTAATGTTAATACCGTATAATATTATTTTAAAATACATTGTCTTTACTATATGAATGGTTAAGTTATGAAAGCAGGGAATGCATCTTCCCAGTAATAGTGATACAAGTTATTCAATATATAAACAAAGCTCCAGGAATGCATCTACTTCATATATCAAGGTACTAATACTACTGTACAGTTTCCAAGTTACATCTGTAACATCACACCTCTTAACTTCTTGACTTGTGTTCCTGAAGATGACAGGCACTTGCACATCATGAATCTGCAACTCTGATCAAGGGGCAAATGTTTGTGAAGCAATATTCTTTACCCACCTAGTCACGTTTCAGCGTTTTACCCATGGGTTAAGTCACAAATATAAGGGTACTAATAAATTTTCATTAACATTTACAATCACTAATATAGAATTAAAATTTATAAGTATCGATTATTTTATTAAGGGAACAAAAACAGCATAAATGTTCTTCTATTAGAAGTCTAAGTTCTAGTTCTACACAGTAATTTGTAGTATTACTATTAATACTGCAATGCAATCGCACTTTTTCTTTATTTTTTAATAACTTGTGCAAGTAATAGATGTATTTCTTAATTACGGTGGCCTCAATGCCACCGGTTTTTGTGATTTGTACTTGTAGCATGGTATCATATTGTGCAGTAGCACTTAGTACTATTACTAGCAGTAGTATAGTATAAAATCTACTGGCACGGTGGCAGCAACGTTTTTGATCCACCTTAAGCTTAGCCTACGCTAATAACATCAGACTAAATTTATTAATAACACAGAAGGTAAAATTAAACAAAAGATATACCTTACCAAATTATCCGTTTCTTTGTACGGTATGTGGTAAATATAAACTGTTTAACCCTAGCCTTGTGTAGAACTAGTTAAATTTCAATGTATCTAAGTTTCTTTCTTTGTCTAACGTTAAGCTTCTTTCAACTTTATCTAAGCAAGCCAAGCCTATTGGTAATAACGGCCGAAAGCATGCGCAGTGTCAACAAAATCATTCCCTAAAAGCGGGAAAACTGTCATTTATTTTAGAAATAATTTTAAGCAAGCGATGGCAAACACACCGTATATTTATTCTTTAAGTAGTTATAAGTTTATCAAAGTCTTCAAACACAAAAATTAATAAAATTGCGGTAAGAATTTTTCATAAATGGGCTTCTCGATGAAGTAACGTCATGTATCACGTGACCTCCACCATTTTAATTTTCATATTCACACACTTGTCTGAAGTGTCTGACAGTTCTTTGTTAGTGTTATCATGGTTTCTTCGGATGTAAGTAATCATCTAATATATGTTTTCACTTTTGTTGAAATTTATGTATGTCGTAAGTTGATGTTTTAAGTTTATTACGATGTTACTTTAGTTATGTAATGAAGACGATGAAAAACACGGTTGACAACAACGTAGTAATACAAATAGAAAAGTGATAATACTCAGTAGCAGTGATGGTGGTTTTAAATTTAACTTTTTAAGGAATATCTAGTTACGCAACTTTTTGAATTGTGTGTGTGTACTTCATTAGTAATTTTTAAGATAAATCATTGTGGTTATTTCTCAAATACATTGTTGAATATCTTGGATATATACTTTAGTTTGCTGCGACTCAAAATAATCAAGATGCTGGTGGATTCAATTTCAACTATTAATGTATCATTGGTGTTTGTCTCGAACTCTTTAAATTTAAGATTTAATTAACTGGTTGATTATATTTAGTATTAATAACGATATTATCATATACTTGATAAAGTATAAACATTTTTTATATTATAAGGGAGAGTCATATTACCATTATTTCTAAACATATTTTAGAAATTGTTACTTAAAAGTTAAAGTTAAAATCTAAAACATGAAAAACAAAAACATAAGTATAACTGTTACTGTGGAATTTTTGTTGTCAATCCCTAATACTAATAGTAAGCTCAAACACTTAGTAACAGTAGCATTCACATTGTTACTTTTTTGTCCAATCAGTACTTGTGACACTGAAGCATCCCTTTCTATCTTTAAAAAAGCAAAGCTTTTCAGCAAAATCTTTATAGAAGCATCAAGTTTCAGCACATTAAGTTTTGTAATGGATTGTTAGAGCCTCTGTTAAGTCTGCCATAATGTCCACTGTGTTGGGCCCACTACTGGCCCTTTTATTCTTACAAAGAAATAATACTTTTAAATTCAGATTCTGTTATAATTTATTCAATGCATTAGCCATGCAATCGGCTGTTGTTTGAATACATGGACAAGTTCAAATGTAACTGTGTGACCCTGTTGGCTGCTATGGCTCCAATATTTTTAATTGGTCTGGACTAGCAATATTACACCCATAGTAAATTGAGTAATGTGACATTTTCAAATTATGTTGTTTAGACAAATATGTTAAATTCAGTCAATGTTTTGAAAGTTTAAATTATAAAATTGAATATTAATCATTATGAAATTCAGACAAGCAAGAAGAGTTTTAACGTATTTGATTATAACCTAAATTTAGGGGGTCTAAAAGAATTTTAGTTCCTGGCCACAGTAGTGTGTGAATGCGAAATTTTGATTGTTACACCCATTGCCTGCTATTTGTCAGTGATCAGCAGGTGAATGTTAAAACAGGGTGTTTGTTCAAATTGGCTGGATCAATAAGGATCAGTGATACATCAAACAATAACTCTTCATGCTCTACTTTCGTCTGGCCAGCTTCATTGGATCCAGAAGCATATACTATTTGAAAACATAGAAACAAAATTTTAAAACCATTAAAATTATTTTTAGCCATTGAATTTGTAGAAACAAGGCCATTCAATAAACTTTGTGGTGCAGATTACATATACATAGATATGTATGTCCAATTTGAACTGACAGCAAGTCAAAAAATTATATATATGTGGATTGTAAACATCCTATGCATTATCCTGAATACTGGGTGTGCTACAATATTCTGTGATAAACGTGGTTTGAGCAACGTATCAGTTACATCATGATATGACATAGAACAGGTGGATGTGTCTGTCAATTGTGATGTTTCAAGTTTACAACCAATGTCTCCTATTCTTTCATTGGTACATAAGTAAGCTCGTACTTCATTATTAACCCTATCGGCACGTGTTAAAGGACATGTCATCATGTTTGTTGACTTGCATTCAAAATTTTATTGAACGACTATTTTATCAATTTATGTCAATACGTTTGGTATAAAACTAATTATTATCCAAATGTTCGTATTATACATTATTTGATTTCTCTATGTAAAAGTAAATACTAAAAAAACACACCTGAACATCAATTTTTGTGTATCATGTGGTATGTTGAATGCAGCACTAGTTCAAATTAGATGTTTGTGATGTCAAAATACAAAGTCTATAGTTTTGTATGAATTAGGAACTTAAATTACTGATATTGACAAGCTAGAATATAAAACAAGAACCTTCTATCTTTTCTGTTTGCAAAAAAGCACTCGTACTGAATCAAACACAGTGGCTTGTCTCACCTCTTTCCATTTTTGGAAATGATCCCTTGTATACACTTTTATATATGATGTGAATAACCAATTAAAAGCTCAGAATGTCGCCCTAGTAATTTTCTCAGCCATTTTCAAATATAACTGCATCATCTTTCGAGTCAAACCGTCGTGCTGGTAAGTTGAGTTTTAGCCTGTTCAAAATGTTTTTAGACCCGAGTACAGCATAGTTACTAAACTTGATAAATTATAATGGAATTCTATGGTATCGACAAGCAGAAACCAAGTACAAAGGTCGTAAAAAAAGAAAAAGAGAGATTGTTTGCTTTACTTCATTTACTGTTGTATGTTTTTAAAAAAATAAGTGTAAGAAATTGTTTGTAAATAGTAATAATCTATATACATATATATTGTATAATAATTGAAATGTGACTGTATTTTACAAAATACTAGTCCACTAAAACACAGCCAAGACGCGTGTGCCGCATCATTGCAACTTCTGTAATAATACTCAGGCATGACTGGATAGTCAATATGATAAAAATAATAAATATATATAAATGTATAATGTTATGAGATTTAAGTTATTTAGACTAAACATTTGTGTTTTCGTGTTACAATCTGTAGTCATTCTAGAAAGAAAGAGGAATACTATTTTTTTTTTCCTAATTTTTATGGTGGTTATGAGGTCGGTCAAATTGACAGAATCCATATAGTTAGGTTAGAGAAAATAATGGACAAAACTTAGTTTTACTGAAAACAAACATTTGAAATGTATTTAGGAGGTTTTAAAGATTACAAAAATAATATAAGATTTTTGGGATGAAGAATGGATTTTTAATCATAACATGAAAAGCACTTGGCACTCGTACTAGTAATGAAACAGACTCGATATTTTCACAAACAAATCTTTAGTAAAAATACTTCATTAAAAAAAACTGATTTTTTTCTGTACAAAAGACTTGTAATCATAACTAAAAGTCTACCAAATTTTGTGAATATACACATACAGCATTAAAAGTTATAGTATAAATACTTAACATGTGCAGATGTGTATACGAACTTGTGTATTTTATATTGAGCCTGTTGCAGAAGGTTTAACATTTGGTTACTGGCTATTTTAATTTCATTTATCCATATATTATGAATACACATGTCTGAGTTTGAAATTGATGGACCTTATTGGGACTACATTTTATCCTACCTTGACACGTGTGTTATATGTATCAGGTTACCAGGTGAAGCAATAATTTGATATCAATCATCAACATTTTGTTAACATTGTTCCAATGGGATAGTTGCTTGGAGCAAAAGGTTGACTTACAGATATGATTTTTAATTTTGTCATTAATTATTAACTACATAATTGAAGTTGCAGTGTAAAGCTACTACTTTGTGACTGTGGAATCCAATGATGTGTGAATTTTTTTGTTAATTTCATTATTTAAAAATTATCAAAAAACTCCTACAAAATTGCATTTGAGGAACTACTTGGACTGTTTGGAGGAGGCTGTTTACAGCCCTCATGCATTTTTCATATGTGGAGGACTGACATTTATAGTAGGGGTAGCATAATGAGGTTTTTGTTAATAATGTGTTAGAGAGAACAACAGTCCTATATTCCCACAAATAAACTTTTATAATCTCTAACAATGGTTCAAGATAAGAATTGGTGTTTACAATTATATTTGTTATAAGACATTAGTATTAGGCTTATTACATTTATAAACTATTTTCTTAATCTAGTCAAGAGGAGGAGAATACAAGGGTAGTTCACCCAAATTGTTTCTAGCTTCAGAGCTCAACAATAATGATCTCACAAACATTATGAAGCAAACTTTCTACAACTGTGTACTAAAGAGAGATAACCATCAGCAGGTTATTATATTGGCCAAAATTCTTTATATTGGATATATATACATATATCTATAGAAGTACACTTGGTATGGATAAATTCATTCATAGTTACAAGTTTCTGATTGGTTTGCCTATCTAACAGCCTTAGAATAGAATGGGTTGGAAAAAACCTAAAAAAAATAGAAATGGAAAGGAGAATAGTTACTTGACAAATACAGAGTAACAAAATTTTAAGTATTTTTTAAAGTACATTTTGATGCCAAGTTTATTGACACGATGATAAAGATGTTTTAATATAATTCTGTAGAGAAGTCATTGCATGTGCACTTTGACCCACCCGCATCCAGTAAGTTAAACGCAGCCCAGTACAGTAAGCTTTAAATTATCTGATTTAGTGGTTTCTCAACATGCACACGTGCTTATAAAATTCTTTCGATCCTTTGTTATAAAATGTAAACGTAAAATCATTTTAACATGTTCTTTTTAATATTCTGACTATATCAACATTTTGTTTAGAAGCTTATATTTTGTATACTTACAGAGTTATATATTTAAAGGATTTCTGACTGATGATGGAACTAGAAAAAATTCTGAAACATCCATAATTAATTTCTACAGTACAGATGCACTTGAGTTAGGCTTTTGGAAAAGACCGTTTTCATTAAACAGTTGTTTTTGATGTAATTTTAGGCCATCTGATGTATTGTTTTTGCATTGAAATACATTCTTTGACTTTTTTTTTTATAATACCTTTATATTTTTGAAGAAATCTTTGTACCGTAGTTTTTCATATTCTTCTGTGGAAAACATAGTCGATGTGAGCATATCAAAAATAATTTTATGTTCAAAAGTACCAAGGGTTACTTGTTTTTGCATCATAATGCACAATTCTACTTTAAAAATAATTTGTGTGTGTGAAATAACCCAACGTCATAACTTTTGTATCTTCTAAAAAGTCTTTGTACCATAATTTCTTATGCTCTACTTAAATTGTGTATCTGATGTGGGTTTTTCAAAGTGACTAGTTTATCATCAAAGGGATTTCTTTATGGCTACTTAGAAGCTTTGAATAGTTAATGACATTATTCCAGTTCTACTTGGAACACAGTGTATTGTCTAATTGTATATCTTAACTTCTTTTATAATAACATAATATTTATTTTTTCTAACTTCTAGAGTGACATGGAGCCTGAACAGTATTGTAAGCTTTTTATTGGAGGTCTTGATTACAGAACAACAGAAGAATCTCTCAAGGCACATTTTGAGCAATGGGGAGAAATTGTGGATTGTGTAGTGATGAGGGATCCAAATACAAAGAAATCTCGGGGTTTTGGTTTTATTACTTACAAAAAAGCACATATGGTTGATGATGCACAGGCTGCTCGACCTCATAAAGTTGATGGTAGAGAAGTTGAACCAAAACGAGCAGTTCCACGGGAGGTAAAGATATTTAAGAGTTTTGCTAGCTTTTTCAATTAAAATATTGATGAACAAGGTCCTCAAACTGTTTCATTTGCCAAGCTATGCCAAATTAGGTATTTGATTTGAATTCCTTTGTCACTCTCCAGCTAGTGTTAATGTTTATAGCAAACTTATTCCCAATCTAACTAATCTTACACCCAATTTTAATATGGTTGGTGTACAAAATTGTTTGACTTAAAGGTTTGCTTATTTTTTATCTTTTTAATAGAAATATGTTAGCTAAATGAGTTATGTCTACAGTTACAATTAGAAGGTTGACTTATTGTATAGTTTTAAGTTTTGAATAGAAAGTTTTGTGTTTGTGTTTTGATATATAGTAGATTACACATGTATTAAAGACTCAATGTGCCAATATATTTTTCTAACAAAATCTGGTATGGGTTGCAGAAGTGTAAGGGCTTATGGTGTAATTGAGTTCTTCATTTAATGTTTTAATTAGATGTGCTTCTCATCATATTTTATGTATTATATTGTTGGACTAAGTTTTATTTCTGAAATGAAATTAAAAACTAAGTTATAAACTCAGTTTTTAAAATAATTTCTTCTTTACTCTCTCCATTTTATTTAAAGGACTGTGGAAAACCAGAGGCACAGGCAACAGTGAAAAGAATATTTATTGGAGGACTAAAGGATGATGTTGAAGAAGAAGATCTTAGAGACCATTTTGGACAGTATGGAAATATTGTCAATGTCAATATTGTTACAGAAAAGTCAACTGGGAAAAAACGTGGTTTTGCTTTTGTTGAGTTCGATGACTATGACTGTGTGGATAAGATTGTGTGTAAGTGCAGAGATCACTTTGTGTATAGTAAATTTATTCATACCACGGCTGACATTGTGCACACTGTTGATTAGATTACTTAATACCTAAAAAGTTTTTGTTTACAAAATTGGATTTTTTATTTTATCTGCCTAAGGAAGAGGCTTTTAAACTAACAAAAAAAAGGCTATTCATACATTGGGTGTGAACAGAACACATGTAAAATAAAGAAAAAATTGTTTTCAAGAACAAATGAATAGAGACCAAGAAAAATGTTTTATGCACAAGTTGTAATAAGATGGGAGAGATATTTTTAGTAGAATTTCAATCTGTGACAATCCTAAACAAGTTGACAAATTTAAGCATTTAATGAAAAGAAATAAATTAAAATTTGACATGTCATTGTTGAAAATACTTAGTACTTGTTTTTGTATTTTAAGGGCATATATAAGTAATTATTTTTATATAAATAATGATTTCTTAATTCTGGTTTAGTATATTTCATAGGATGTTTTAACACTCACTGTAGGCAGGTCAAAGTGTGCAATTCATGATGATTTAGTTACATTCAAAACTTAATTAAATTACTTTATTATAGTTCTATACAAATAAACTTAGCATTAAAACATAGTTAATGACTCAAATTTTAAAACAAGATCTTATAAAGAAATGTTTTTAAAAAATCCTCAATCTCCCTTGGTATGAGAATTATGATATTTTCTTAAGTATTCCCTCTTTAATTTATTTACCACCCCTCTGAGAAGTGTGGAATTTAAAGTAAAATTACTCATTATAATATAGATATTACTTAGGTATAGCATAATTTTTATTACCTTTCATCTTATTTGTTTATGGAGTTTTAAACTAGAAAATCAAGCCCACTTACCATGCACACCTGTCACATCCTTTCTTTTCCAAATTTCATGTTTCAATCTTTAAAATGATGTTTTATTTTATGTTCTTTTCATTACAAAGCATTTTCTATTTTATTGTTCAAGTGAATCACATTGACAAGCTTAGCTGAATTTTTAAAGCTTCTTATAGCATAGTTAGAAAGTCAGAAAAATTATGATAATTGTAGGACATTGTTTGCTTTTTTTGTTATTATTCTGCGTTCTTAGTTGCATTACTTAAGTAAATAAAAAATTAATGTATAGTACCATTAGCATTAAAAAAAAGTAGGCTTAAAGTTTATCAACAGCAAAAAAGGACCCAGCTAAGTATATTTCTTGTTTTTCAAGTGTATTTATTATTTTTTATTATAAATGTAACTAAAATGTAAAAATTAGAGACTTATTGAGTTAGATTAGGTAAAGTAATGAAAAATAATAATAATAATAATTCAATGTACAAATTCTTTAGTAAAAATATTTCATTAACAATTCTGATTTTTTTGTCATCAAAAGACTTGAAATGTTTACTAGCTTGAAAATTTTCATGAAGATACACAACATATTAAAGGTTGTAATATGGAAACTGGTCATTTTGGGGTCAAGAGGTTGATGTAAACCACCCAGCCCATAATAAGGGGGTTAAAGTAAATAAATGCTTTTGTTACCACTCTTAACCTTTTCAAAAAGTCACTAGCTCATAGTTAACTCATGTAGTTAAGTTGTTGATACGGTTAATAGTTTAAATTTAAAAATACAAAAATCAAAACTCTATCTGTTTTTTTGGCAGTGACAAATGAAAGTGCTGGTGATAAATACAAGTGATCATAATACTGTAGTGATGGGCAGTTTTTTGTCATCTTTTTCTACAATTCAACCATGTGTTGTGAAGATTAGCTATGAAAAAGTAACATATTCATGAGATTTCTTAAAAATGTGTTGTAAAAATTTTTATCTATCTTAATAAAGCAGATCATGATGGAATTGTAAAATATATAATTCTTTAAATACAGTGAAAAAACATCATATTCTGAAAGGAAGAAAGACTGAAGTAAAGAAAGCTCTGTCCAAACAAGAATTAGAGACTGCTAGAATGAGAGGTTCGAGTAGTCGTGGGTCAAGTGGTGGAGGAAGAAATTCTTCATATGGGGGAGGAAGAGGTAATTCCTATTTAAGGTTTATCCTCTATTTCATATATGATAATTTTAACTATATGGCACAGTTTGAGACAATAGTCATTTGTATACTGTAATTTTTAGGAATATGTGAAAGTTGATGATCTTTCTTGTAAAGCTGTATTTTTATCAGTTTTTGATCTGGTGCTCTTAGTGTTTCATGAGTGTCTTTAAAAAGAATAAATAGATAAGCTTGATTGCAACTTACTAAGCTCTTTATACTCTCAAAACATGAATACATGATATTCATGTTCATTTACATTGCTTAAATCAAATGGGGAGATGTTAGTCGTTGTAAAAGAAATTGTATTAAGTTTTCGTCCAAAAGTGATAGTTGATCTTGGTTTAAATATTGTATAAGCCTGATATTACAATCATATTGACAAATTAGCTTGAGACATTTTAACTCTATATGCACAGATGGGTGTCAAGGTGAGCATGCCAGGACATTTTAAAGAGTGCCATTCAACGTGGTATTTATTTTATTACAGAGTTATAACCATTTTATCCTACATTGCTGATACGGTAACAATTCATGATACAGGAGAGTAAATACTAAATACAACATGCAACGATATTGAAAAAAAAACTGTAGATATGCATTTTGGATGTTCTGCAGATTATACATTATGCAAATTGTGTGATGAACAAAAGTGTTATTCTTCTCATGACCATCATCTTGCATTCTGAGACAGAATGATGACAATTCATATACTTATCTTGAATACATATACTTTTGTAACACAGACTACATTTCACTAAAAGCTTGCCACTTTTTTATATATATATATATAAAAATACATTTAATAAATTTCAAGATCGTGCTTTTCCAATGAGGGGGTCTGACCAGTTGACCAACCTTGTGCACGTTCATTAATCTAATAAAAAAACACTAAATTTTCATTGATACAAAGGAAAATATCAGTTGTTGAAAAACACAATAAAGATACAGGTGTTACATTTCAAACAGGCCACAATGGTTGTTTGTATTGGTGAGCATAGCCATCAAAAGCACTGAAATTTAGTTCTTAATTAATATATAAACATTTTTCAGTCTGGCATCTTGATTTTTACAGGGGAGAAATGACCAAGTTTTGAAAAATTCTGTGATTTATCTCCTCTAAGTACTTTCAAAATAATTAACTTTTTGATGTGCTTTATCTTTGTTTTGGATAAAACAATTAAAAAGTATTGAAACTGCTAGCCCTAATTTTTTGATGTTTGTCTCCTGTTTTTATTATTGGGATGGTGCGTATCATTAAACTTCTGTGTGTAGATACTATTTACCAGTGGATGAAAAAATTCTGAAAATTGAGCTTTTCAGAAGTTGGTATTGTCAAAAACTCAACTATCCACATGTTCTGTTTTACATTTTTTAAGTTTTTTAAGCTGATTAAACCATAAAGATATCCTTTCTTTCCTTGTATAGTTCACTAGATTGTAAAATTTCTTATTACACTATGAGGGGCTTCTGCCTTGTTAGTTATTGATGCTTTTCTGTTTGTATGCCATGGAAAGGTAATAAATTAATTTAACGAGTTTCCCTTCATGTTTAGTTATTTTAGTGAAGTAATTGCTCTGGCAGTTAATTTTATGTTTATAAGAATATGCAAGACTTGTAACTTGTGATCGTGGTGAACACTAGCTTCATATTTCACTCCTTGGACAAGGATGGAGACCATGACATGGTGTCATCTTTTTTTGAACAAATGTTCATAATTAGTTAAAGAAATGGATAAGTTTCATGTATAAAATAGAGTAAGATAGTATGATAAATATTGTTTATTTACATTCATTTTAATGTTTTAAATCAGAGGTGCACTACTCAGTTTTTTTGTTGGGGCCAATTTGGAATGTGATTGAGAATTGGAAGGCCATAATATTTCTTCCTCCAAAAATTTTTGACCCCTTTGCATTTTCTACTAACTCTAAAGACTACTTAACAAAATTTCTATTAAATTGTGATGCAGAAACTCAAATATTTCCATCGAATTAAAAAAGAAAAAACTTTAAACTTCACACACTAATTTTGTGTCATATAAAATGAGCTGGCTGACCAAATTCAGATCACAGGTGGATTTTTCTTATTGTAGTATTTCTTTCAGCAATGTGACCTTGCTCATGACATCATTAGGCCTGTAAGATTATGGGGGTCATGCATTACAGCATAGTAAGTAGCTGTTATGTAGTAGTGTTTATTGCATCGTATATCATAAATTAACCAAAAAAAGTCAAATTTACATTTTAAAAGGACAAATAGATTTGTTTCTGTTAATACATTACTTACTAGTGGAGTCAGATTCAAGTGCCTATTCACTCACTCCACACACACACACACACACACACACACACACACACACACAGTGTCTCTCCCCAGGAGCCCTAAGAATACATGTGAGGTTCAGTAACAGTTGGTCTCATGGTTCACCAGTTATAAGCAGATACATCAGACTTTTCTAATAATAGTTCAGATTTTCTTACTGATTTGCATGCTTTACTGTGGATCCAACTGTTTGTGGTTTTGCATTGCACTACTACAGAGTCATGTTCTGCACTAAGGCTGAGACAATACACTAAATCTACAATGTGATAAATGTCACACTACCTGAAACATTCTCCAAATCTCTCTTTGAAAAGAGGGAAATTTTTATATTGACGTAGAACCATTTCAAAAGAGCACATTTAATTACCAATAAAGAACATAGTATTTGTTTTGTTTTAAAACATGAACTCTATTTTATTTGTTTTGTAGAGCCATTTTATTAAGTGACAGGAAACACAATATTTCCACATTGTTGATCTGTAAAGCACTAAAGGTTTTGATTATTATGTTCTTTACTTTCATATAGCTTAGTCTGATTGCTCTGGAACTTGAATTCCAGAAGCTGCCATGCACACATTGTATAATGGGATACATCTACATACGTGGAACTAAGCCTTTATGATTACCAAATCAATAAATGTAGCATATTACAAATTAAAACAAAATAGCATATTTATTGCACTGTTATGATATATAAGCTATGAAACCTGCTGGATAATTTTATAAGTTTGCATTACAAGGGTAATTGAATTGTTGCACCCCTAATCTGTTCTTCAGAACCATGGGTGTGGTTCAACATATAAGTCAAATGTGCATTAAAACAGGTATCACTTGAAGTGTTGATGGCAGTTGTGACTATAGGTACATATGTTACATATATTCATACAATAATTTTGTTGTTTTTTTATTCTTTCTACTCTACATGCGTTGCCAGTGATTATTACCATATTTTTCGGTGTATAAGATGCACTTTTTTACCCCAAAAGTTGATGTCAAATTCTGCTTGCGTCCTATACACCGAAGGTATGAATAATATATATGTATATATACGATAAACACAAG